TTACAATATCCAGAAGAGATTTTCATAGGAATCATGTCGTCGATCAGAGTTTCTTCAAAGAAATCCACTGATTGCCAGTCACCTCCCACCCACAACCATTCTTCCTGAAATCCGTGAAGAGTATCCAGGACATCTTTAATTAAATCACCGAGTTTGAAGCCAGTCCCTGTCTTTCCACCAATGAAAAAAGCAACATGATGACTCAGCCATTTTTCTCCCTGGGCTCCTCTTGAGAGTATAAATACTTCTTATGTCCCTACACGAGGGCAGTTTGTACCCTCGTTCATGAGTCAAAACCATCAACCCGAGGATCTTTTTCCAACTATTGGGAGTAATTTGACACAAAGCCAAACCCCAATCCCGCAAATATTCAGTAATCAAGTTCGGGAGAAGGAATCTAAGCCCCAATCTCAGGCTCTCGGAAAAAACACCAACGCAACCGGGAGCAGGAGAGGTAATTCTCTCCCCCGGATACGGAGCAAACAACTTCACCGAAGGCGGAACCCAGACTTGCTCGCGCAACATCACCACATCGGCATCAGTTAATATACTGGGTTCTCCCCAATAATCCACCTCATTATTCGGCCAAATCCTACCCGGACGTCTCCAGCACTCGTCTGTCGCCACGGCATCCGCTTCAACCCTCTCATCCTCTTCGATACTGTTGGTTTTAATTTTGAGATTAACCACAAAAGTCAGGTCCCATCGATAATACTCAAAGGCTAATTCGATCAACTCGGAGTCGTGATACATACTAACCGAATCTGAGATCGTCCGGCTCGAATAACTAATGCTATCAACTTTCTCGGTGGCCATAAGTCGATTACGAAAGAGATCGAAAGAAATAGAAATGCAGAAAAAAAAAGTTAAGAAAAAGTTATGCGCAAAAGCTTACCCAAAATGCACCGAATATTCAAGCAAAAACCGAACAAAGCAGAGAAAGTAAGCACGAAAATGTGAGAAAGTTGCAATTGAGGATCAGGAATCAAGAGTCCGAGAATTCTTTTTCAAAGATTGCGACAGTAAAAATCTCTCTCGATGCCAGACTGCAACTATTATACCCAACAAATTTCGACCGTTAGGGTTTCCAATTGGGGGCGCGTGCAACCGACGCGACTTATAATCTCAAACGGCACAACCTTTTACCTGACAAAGCCTACTCTGCACGTGTCGCCCTATTAATATGGTCGTTACCTATTTTTATTACGGCGTAACCTTTCGCACGTCACAATTAATTTACAATCGTTATGTCCCTTTGAATATTCGAGCACTATCAAGTTAATTTGTCCAGAATTTTCACAAGTATCACCACTTCGGGAAACGACCATTATTTCGGAACCCACTTCTCACATCGGTCACTTTAAATCAGGAGAGTATCTCAATATAATCACTTCAAATTCGCAGTACAGTACCAGCTCGGGAGTTCCAACGATTTTCTTTATGTTGTCAGCGATCATCACTAACGTATGACCGCTAACACCGGGGGCCTCTCTGTTATCATCCAACCTGGTAATCAGTATTATTCGTGTAAAACCACGTGTTAAGTGAGTTATTGCTGGTGCTAGCCAGACTCTTCTCACCCCCGGTTCAGGTTTTAACAAAACTCCGGCTCAACCTGAAGAAGACCGACCTGCCCGATGAAAACCAAAGTCACCACAAAGCGAGGTCGCTACACCCAAAGAAGGTGACAAGGCGCACACGCGACATGTTCAAACACCACAAGAAATCTCATCATTTAAGTGGGTCCCGCTCACATGACCGCCCATCCAAAAAGCTACTTTACGTAAAAGCGGTCGTACACCTCGACATGCGGGCCCATAAAGATACTAAAAATAGAAAATTCTTATTCTTGTACAGGGATCGAACTCTGAACATTTACATATATACAAAACGCTCGACACCTTTCACCTCGGACCGGGGCCACTGTTTTTGTTTCGATGCATGCTTTACGTTCATATCAATTGAAACACCTTGCTAATCTCAGATATATTCATTGTTAATAATCATACAACAACAATATATATATATATATATGTATATATATATATATAATAACAATAATTTAAAAAATGTTGTCTGGGCAAATTTTTTACTCATACTTTAAGGTATATATATAAAGATGTTAACTTTAAGTGTTTTTAAATATATTTTTTTTATAAAATAGTTTAGAAGAGTTAATGTAATTTCACATTTTTCAAGAATAATATATAATATTTTAGGTACTTTTATATACGTTATATAATAGTCTAGGAATTCTTAATTTTTTTTCGGTTGTAATATTACTAACACATATAATATTTTAGATACTTTTAAAAATATTTGGACAAATTTTTTCACAATCTCTAGATTAAAACATGTTTTCCTTACAAAATAGTTTAGAATAATTTTAGGTGACTTCACACATATTTCAAAAATAAAATAGAATATTTCAGATACTTGTGCATATGTGATATAAGATATTATATCATATAAAAAAGAGAATAAGATTTATAAATAATTCCCGATAAAAAACATTAAATACATACTTAATCTTAGATATAAAATCTCAATTTATTTGTTTTTTAATACTTCAGTTTGCATTAATCTTATTTGTTAAGATTTTTATATCATATAATAAAAAGATAATAAGATTAATAAATAATTCCCGACAAAAACCATTAAATACATACTTAATTTAAGTATAAATGCTCACTTTATTTGTTATATAATATTCATTTTGCATTAGTCTTATTTCTAATTTTGATAAACCAAGCATACACTGACTTTAAAAACTAATTTTTAAACCTTTTTACGGACTTAAAAAAATTAATTTTTAAACCCTTTTTACTCGAGAAAGAAGTTATGTTATAATTCTCGACTTCAATATTTATTTATATATATTTTATATCAACATACCCAGTATATTCTCAAACAGGTTGGGGTCTGGGGGGTCAGTTGTACCAGACCTTGCCCTTGTAATTATACAAGGAGGCTGTTTCCATAGCGACCCAAGGTGCGTTGCATTTATATATATTTTATATATTTAATATAAATCTTATTATCTTCATTCAACAAATTTATCTAGGCATATAATATTTTATATATTCTTAAACATATTATTTAGACAATTGTTTACACATTCTATCTATATATACATTTACATATAAACGCATACATGTACATATGTTAAATTTAAACATTGTTAGACATGTTATCAGGAAAATTAATGTGGAAAAATTTAGGTAACTTCACATCTTTTAAATAGTTTTAGACATATTTTCTTTACAAAATAGTTTAGACAAAATTCAAAGTGAATTCAATCTTTCAATAATGATACCAAAGACTAAAAAGACTGAGAAGATAGATCCGAAGATCACCTAAAGCCAAACTTGCAATGCTAGAAGCACATACTCACGACACCACGAACTACTAACTCCCAACAAGAGAATACCCAAATGAGACGATCCCAACAGGATATATTAACTCCACATCTCCAATTTATAATTATTAGTTAATATTGTTTGCCATCTTCTTTAATTTATAATCATTATTTAATATTATTTATCCGTACATCGCACGGGATACGCACTAGTAAACCAAACGAGAGTAGCAAACCAGAGAGGCTTAAGAGGTCAACGGAGTCTTTTCAACATAGTTGCAATAGCGCGATTCAAGAAATAAGCAATAACAGCTAGCGCAACTCCTTATAAAGGGACATTGCTAAGACCTTCTCCAACCGAACGGGAAAACTCAATTTTTGCAGTGAAATCTCCTCCAACCGAACGGCAAACGCAGCGGCAATTTGCGTTTTTGCCTTCTCTCTCCTCCTCCAAAACGCAAATTTGCGTCTGGACGCAAAATATGCGTTCTCTTTTTTTTCTTGCATTTTAGTCCTTTTCTTTATGTTAATCTTATTTTGTTCTTTTTGTTTTGGCACTTAAGTTCAATCCTCATATGGATGATTAAATTAATGAATGTTAATTATATATATTTATCAAAATAGTAATATTAATGTAAAATAATAAATGTTATATTTATCATTTAATTTGCACTAATGCAATGAAAAAAGTAACAGTTTTTAAAATGTGAATATATGCGCTAGACCATATATGGTCTAGGGTGTAAATTTGCGCTAAATGTTTTATCTATCATTTAATTTGCACTAATACAATAAAAAAAAAAGTAACAGTTTTTAAAATGTTAATATATTTGCTAGACCATATATGGTCTAGAGTGTAACTTTGCACTAAATGTTACATCTATCATTTAATTTGCACTAATACAATGAAAAAAAGTAACAGTTTTTAAAATGTGAATATATGCGCTAGACCATATATGGTCTAGAGTGTAAATTTGCACTAAATCGTATATTTTCAATAGTGTTCTAAGTTTCATGTGTGTTGTAATTTTTAATTTTTCATCTTGTGAATTGTAATTTTTAATTTTATTTGTGTGGTGAAATTTTAATTTTTAATAAATATTTATTTCTCCGATTTTATTATGTATAATTAATTTTAATTACATAAAGTCCAAATTGAGTTTAAAATAATAGTGTGGTTTAATTTGTAAAGTTGTAAAATATGTGGGTAGTATTGAAAAGTTATAAAAATTGGTGTAAAAGAGAATATTCTGGGAATATTCTTTTGGGTTTGAGAATGAATTTTTCGGTTGGAGATGAATTACTGCAAAATGAGATAGTTACTGCAAAATGAGTTTGAGTTTGGGTTTTTCGGTTGGAGATGGCCTAAAGGAAACGAAACCGCACTATTATGGAAATATGACCGTTGTGAAATTATTTATTCAAATATTCGCCATCCTCCTCACAAAATTCAAAAAGCACAAATGACCGTTACCGATCTTTTTCAATTTTCCTTGATTGCATTTTCAGGTCCTTCATCATCTCACTATATCAATCCTCCTCGCCATTTATTATTCATCTCGCCCAAAATTCTCTCTTCCTCTCGTAAAAGCGACCAATAATTTCGAATTCGTGTGGAACAATTCTGCAGGAAACAAAAAAAATGGCGTTGAGGCCGATTGACAATGCGATGCCAATCCTTTGCGATAAGCCCAAAAAGCAAGCAAAGGCGATAATTCCATCTCACAAAGAGAAGCAATTGCCTGATGTTGGCGTGAATGATGAAAACAAAATCCCTTTGCCCCAGCAATCGTCTGTGGATGCCTCCATTGATTATATTTCCTCTCAAGATCTCAAAGCCTTTCAAGACCCAGATTCTCGAATCCAGGTTTTCTATTGGGTTTCTTTTAATTAACTGTATTGTTTCGTCAATTATGAAGATTAGGGTTTGATGTTGAATATGTATCCTTTTTTTGTACACTCTTCTGATTTATCCCAATAATTTTCCTTTTTTTTGTCCCTTGAAAATGTTGAATTTTCAAGAAGATTTCCCTACTTGCTGATTTCTTGAAATTACCGGACTTGATTTGTGGGAGTTTTATGTTTCACTTGTTTAATGAATACCACAAATTCTTCGTATTGATTCGGAATTTTGGTGAAACTTTTCAGGGTCTTGTTGGAGGGCTGGAGTCCAAGGATTGGCTGAAAGTTTGTGATTCGCTGAACGATGTTAGGCGGTTTTCCCTCCACCATCCCAATCACTTGCTGCCAATCTTGTAAGTTTTATTATTCTATTTCCTCTATTCTTATCTTTACTTTTGCTTTTATTAGTTTCTTGTCTGGAGAAAAATTTGATGTGTTCTGTAGGGACAAAGTGGTCTTAGTGATGGTGAAAACAATCAAGAACCCAAGAAGTGCATTGTGCAAGACCTCTATCATGGCTTCTTCTGATTTGTTCAAAGCCTTTGGTGTGAAGTTACTTGAATCATCAGCCCGCGATGCTATTGACCATTTGGTACATAAATATGCCCAAAACTCCCAAGTATTTTGGCTATAACTTGGTTCGAATTCATATTGTCAATAAAGAAAGAATACTTTTTGGAAGCTGCACCGAAGATGGAAAGGGTGTTTATTACATGGATATAAATCTCGACTTCAAGTGGCCCATTCGTAATTTGATAGTTTTGGTAGATGAGATAATCCTTTTAGGGGTGGTTTATATAATTGAATCATCCGTTTTGTTGTTTGTTTGTTTGTGGCAAACAGTTTTTGCAGCTGCTACTAAAAGCTTCCCAAGACAAGAAATTTGTTTGTGAGGAGGCAGAGAGAGCATTGTTGGCAATGGTGGAGGCCATGCCCCCACTCCCTTTACTCCACATGCTCAGTGCCTTTATTAAACACTCAAACCTCAGAGTCAGAGCAAAAGCTGCAGTATCCATCTCTAATTGTGTCTCCAAGATGGTAATGTGACAGCAATAGCTGAAGTGATTTAGTAGTATATTTGCACATCTTTAAGGTTAATTGCAAAAACTTCCCCATAAGTTTCGACCTCGACCTCCAAAAGATGAGCAATTTTTAACTTAGAAAGCAATTTGGCTGAACAACAAGTGGTAGAGGAGTGTTTTTTTTTTTTTTTTTTTTTTATAATGCTACTTAAAGTTGTGAGTATGATTGCCCTTTTTTGTGTAGGATCTGAAAGGTATGGAGGAATTTGGTTTGGTTGCATTGATCCAAAGCGCGTCAAATTTGTTGAACGACAAACTCCCGGAGGCAAGAGAAGCTGCTAGAAGCATTGTAGTCTCGTTGCATGGAGCTGTTACTGAAAATGAGGAAAGCAAGCAGGACTCTTGGCAAAGCTTTTGTGAATCTAATTTGCCACCTATTCATGCACAATCTATGACTAAACTTGTTTCTTCTTAAATACTAGTTGTTTTCTTTCTTTCTTTCTTTCTTTCTTTCTTTTTTAATTCAAGGTTATGACATGTTTAAGCTTTCGTAAGACTCCCATGTAAAGATCACTTTTACATGATGATTGTATATGCTAGAGCATCTATTTCATTCGTTATATAGCAATCATTATCTTGCATATTTGTGGGACTCTGTTAGTATACAATAAAAATTAAAATGTATATAAATTTTAGAAAATTAAAATAATTTTATTTAATGCGTAAAAATTGCCGTATGTGAAAAAAAATAAGAGATTCGGAAAAAAAAGTGAAAAAAAAATAATAGAAAAAAGACCTAAGATCAGAACAAGAATTTTTTAGTTGGTCAGCAAAATGAGCTTGAGGGAGAATTATGGCCGTTTATTGGTCAAAGCGAGATCCTTCAGGGATTTCCAAAGATTAGCGGGATCTTTTTCGGTGAAGTATTCATTTTTCAAATCTTTATTTAGATGGTGACGGAGAAAAATCAATGCTTTCGCCTTCTGGGCGAGAGTGCTCTGAGATTTAGAATCAATTGTGCCACTTAAGTCAAATGAGGTCAGGTGAATCTTGAGGGCCCAAGTCAAATAATTACTTCCATGGCGAGCTCAGCAAATTCTCTTTTGGTGATATCAGACATCTATAATTTATTCAAAACAAGAAACGATGTCTCAAATAATTCAATAACAAAGTTGATAGAATTGGATTTAATCCTACATGAAAGACATCACTTTAAATATTCATGTATGTGATCCATTCATATAATCATAACAAAGTTGCAATTATATTTTCACAAGTGAGATCACAATTGAATCAACAGTATCAGACCCATGATTAACAACTCTATCGAACATGTACAACAAATAAAATAAACTGAATTTACTTACAAGAATTTCATTAAATCAAATTCAATCAAACTACTGTGCAAGTCAAATTAAATAATTGCATCAATACGTAATAACACATGTGGTACTGTACAGGGAAATAATTCACAAACATATATGATATATCACAATTGAGCAGCATAATCGTTTTTTTTTTTTTTTGAAGCAGATAGAACAAAAGCAGACCACGGAAAAGCGAATTGGAACAATTCAGATACTTATTGTTCAGCCCAAAATTCAATAGAACAATTATTGATACTTATTGACAATTATTGAACTCAGATAGAACAATCCGTCTGGATTTATTGAATAATTAATTTTGTTCCGTCTGCGTGTACTCATTCAGATAGAACAATTCAGATTTTTTTTTTTTTTATTTATTTAACTTAGAGCGAATCGGAAAAGCAATTCAGATATATCAGAAAAAAAATCGTGTTCATTCAAGCCAGACAGAACAAATCGACAAGTAAAAAAAATAAATGGATCTCGAAAGTACCTTGCAGGAAAAATACGATTTTTCCTAGGGCAACACAAAAAACGAATTATGGGATTAGAGCGTGCTGATAACGTGTTGTAAATTGGAGTCCCCAATGTTCACCAAGCATCCATCAATCAACCAAATATGTAAAATATGCAGTAAAGAGAACAAGAAAAGAAAACCAGAAAAGTCTCACTTTTATTCATCGGTATTCATTCTTTTATAGAGTTTATAATGGAGAAACCCTCAAACCTAATCCTACTAACTAATGGACTTCAGGCCCTATTATATATTAGTAATGTCCATATTAATATATTTATAACAGAATTTAGAGTATTTCAGATCAAATTCATTCAATTTTTTCTTGATTGAGATGATATATGTAAATTATTGTTTGAATTATGTTTTACTCCAATCTAGCAGTGATCATGGAGAATCTAATGGTACTTATTCCTTACAAAATTCAAATCAATCCAAATTTGTAATCTAATGATCTTGTTGTACTATTCAAAATATTCGTATTTATTTTTTCCATAACGTCTCCATTCTCTTTAAATAAAGCATCTACACTTTGTCAATATGGCATTTAAATAAACTCAAATCTAAGATGACATGGATAAAACTATGTAAATTTAACAAAATCCATTAAATTTCTAATTGAGTCGAAAATAAACTTAAAATACACTGGGTCTTTTTTTATAACTGTCACATAAGCAAGACCCAATCTGCTTTTATTTGCATTGGAGGATATATTTTTTTAGATTGTGTCTATTTCTTAGGTGGCATATAATTTTTTGTGGTTGAACCCAAAGCATTGTGAATGCTCTGCATACACAAAAATCCATTACCAACATAACAATATAATGCATTTTTTTTTTCCAAATGCTAATATAATGCATTCCAAGAGTACATCGAATGTCCACTCATAAAACCAATAAGCACACCACCTAGTAGACCCCAAAAGTCGTTTGCATTAAAAGAAACAGAACAATACTCAAAATTTCAATTTGACTTGAACTCTTCATCAGCTTAACAACAACGCGCACACATTAGTAGTAAGCCATGTCAGAATAAAATAAAATAAAATAGAGCTGACATAATCACAACAGAGATTAACACACTAGCTGCCCTCTGCCATTACCAAATTGTGTAGCTATGGTACAGCTCGACCAGCACTTGCAGCTCATTTGGTAATTCTGATTGAGACTCAGGTTGGGAATCACAACGCTTGTTGCAGTAAATCCGAGCCCTCTACATCCTGGCGTTGTATTTGTAAATCCTGTAATGTGCAACATAAATGTTAAGTGAGAAAGAGGGTAAATTAAAACATCAAAAAATTCATGTGTAAATCCTGGATTTGAAATGACTAGTTTTTTGAAATCCTCCAATTACTATTGTATCATCCAACACATGTACGGAAATCTGGGCTAAGGAAATTGAAATCCATAGACCCAATCCCTCAATCCGAATACACTAAGACAAAGATTATTCTACCTGAAGCAGTAAAATGTACAAGACAAGTTAACTGAAACTCTTCACATGTGTCACCTGGGTCTGTAGTAACTGATTCGACTGCTGGTCTTGCGACATCGGGTACGCCTGAGGTTGAGACATCCGATAATAAGGCTCTTTGAGATCTAGTTTTCCGGAGGACGTCTGGATTATTCCTCCTTGTTCAGCACCAGGGCCCCACATTTTAGCTATTTTAAAATACAAGAACAGCCAACTCAGTTCATGAAGAAAAGGAATAATCACAACACCTGCCTTTGAGTTGGGCCTGATTGCAAATATCAGTCATCTTCAAAAATTACAGACCACCCACGATAGGCATTTAACCAACAATACCACTTGCAGATGCAATTCTTAAGATTAAGAGCATCTCCAATGCTCAAATGTTGTTATAGAAATTTTTTTGACAAATGTCAAAAAATTAATTAGATTGTGAACCATGTAGGACAAATGTTGAGTTCACAACTATTAATTAAAAAAATCATCTCCAATGCACAATGTTGCCAAGTTACAATATTATCTACTTGCCAAATAATAAAATATTAATATGAATTAATAAAATTAAATAAATAATTAAATAGTTTGAAGATGGTAATAATAATTCTCTCTCTTATCCTCATTGACTAATTAGAATGTGGAATAGAATGTGGATGAACCACATTCTTCTCTACATTGTAGACATTAATTATGTCCACATCATCACAACATTTGTGATCACATTGTACATTGGAGGATGAAAATTTGTGATATTAATAAATGTGTTGATGTGGAGTGTAATTTTACCACTACAACATTGAACATTGGAGATGCTCTAAAGAGAGGAATGCATGTCAAGAGGAGTCTGTTATTTAAAAAAAAAAAAAAAAAATTTTCCCCTTTGTTTTCCTGCTTTTCTTAAGAAAAAGCTGAACCTCAGGTTATTTTTGTGATGAATGTTTGCAACTCATACGGAAATTAGATATGATTTGTTAAATAGTTAAAACAATAATAGCCCCCTTCAAGGATGCAGTTATGAAGAGAGCAACAGGTGTTTTAAGATTACTAGAAATACTTTTATTTCCCTTTCATTTCTTTCTGATAAAGCTGAAAAGGCCTTTTTTTTCGGGTAATTACTAATTAACCCACAAGCAAATAAAACAGTACAAAAGACTATTCATGCAATACCCCAAACAGAAATTGTCATGACCAACCTGACAATGTTAGGTATAGTGTGTAACTCTGAGCTTTATGGGCCACCATACGAAGTCGACCAGTTATTTCTTGGCCAGGCATCACATAAATAGGCTGTTCCAAGACACAACGGAGCTGGTACCAATGTGTTGTGGGCGCACCAGGAGCAGTTGTAAGCCACCTTTGCACAGTACTAATGATAACATAATTTTTTAGAGAAAGAGAGAAACTTATGCAAGTCAAACTTTTTCGAAACAATGATGTGAAACCACATGAAGGATCAAACTATTACCTCCCATTAAACAATACATCGAACCAACAAGCCAAACCATGTATTCTGGCACCAACAGATGATACAAATCTCAAAGGGATGTCAATTTCATACAGTTCCTCCTCCTGTCAAATGGTGTTTTTAGACAGATGAGAATAAAGTATCATTATTATCTATCTTAAGAGCTATTAAAATTTTTTAAGGCACACCAGATATCATGAGCAAATGTCGAGGATTTAATTTTTTTCATTAGATACTTTCTAATAGGGATACAAGGAGCATGTGATCTGTGAGTGCTCTAATATCCATGGTAATCTGTGAATTCGCATTCACAGATTATTCGTGTGAGCAGGTAGTGATCACATAAACCCTGAATAAACTATTCGTGTGAGCTCGTAATAAACATGTGGCATACTGTCTATGATCTAGAGAGTGAAATACATTCATGTGACAGGTGCTGCCAAAAGTGAAATTAACAAGCTATGTATTATCTTCAGTAAGAGACAGAAGATGCATAAATTTTTCCAATAAAGCTATCCCGTACCTTAGCAGAAGTGAAGTCTATCACGTGTGAGATTGCAGGAGCCACCAACAGCCTAGGATCAAAAGCATCGACCACTGGCTGCAGCATTCAATAGTGCAAAAGCAAAACAAATGACCAGATGCAATAAATGGACAGCACGCTACTAACCACATCACTGGATTAGGATAGAGTAAGACGAGAAGAAAAGACAAGCAACATGATTGCAGAAAGAAAAGTAAACTTTGATAAGTAACATCCAGACTTAAGTAAACGAATAAGTCAAATTCAACCACAGCCTTCTCTTCACAAACAATTAACAAAACCACCATCAATAATCAATTTATATCACATAGAAATTTAGTAAAAACGTTAATGTTATGCAATTCCCATGGGGAAAAGTACGGATTTATCTCAGAATGAAAGTCTGATCAACCAGACATTACCCGATGATATCGTCCAAAACGTTAAGAGTATCTTATTACAGCTTCTTAGATGAGAAAGGAACTGTCTAATTACTGAAAACCCACAGATAACCAGTCAAGGAGTATCTAACTATTTGATGTGTAATATCTGAGAGATGGAAACAATTCATGCTTTTATAGAAACCACGAATTATCGCTGACAGCCTTATACATTATGTGTAAATAATAAAGTCAACATGATAAAAAAGGAGAAGCATCCTGAAATGCAAGGAATTGAACCTGTGAGAAGTATCCTTGAAACGCAGTGCCATGCAAAGGTGTCAAGTTAACACCATAATAATTTTGTTGCTGCCAAAACAAAGCCTGGATAGGAAACGGAAATAATTAAAATGTCATTTGAATCGCAAAATCAGTACAAATGGAGAAATCAGGGAAAAAAATTTCATGATAAATCCCGACTTTCGACCATTTAAAAACATTTAAGTTATCGTCTATTTGAGATTATAAACGTGTAACCAAGTAGCTAATGATAAAGTCTTTCCTAGTATCAGAGTAGAAAAATTGGGGACCACTGCTACAGTAAATTCTTACCTTGTTTGCAATTTCAATAAACAAATATTCATCACTGAAAGGTGCCATATGTATTCTGCAAGAGGGAAAAAATAATACTTTTAGCCGTAGGATATGTACAAGCACCAGCAACGTTTATGGAAATCAGAAGATGAAACCCATTAGAAAAGAAACTAACAAAGAGAGAGGAAGAAAGAGATGGAAAAGAAAAAAGAAAAGAAAACAAAAAGGTGTGATCTTCAGTAACACTAGTACACTACCTTCCAATAGTGGGAAACATTTTCCCATTTGGGATGAGGAATCTATCTCTCGCAATTATGTAGGACTCTAGCATCCTCTCGTTGACGAGCAAAGTGCCTGAATGGAAAACTCAGTCGTCAGTAGATGCCATAACATAATATTCAGGAAGAGCATTTCCTTAAACAGAAAATGCATTGTGCACATAGTTTAAAATGGCGGCGCCATAGGGTTTAACTATGCGTATGCAAAACGGCCTTGTTGCTTATTTCTAGTATTTAACTATGTGTGTGTCAAACTTTATGTTCTATTTGTACTTTCCTAAGTGGTGTTTGTGCTGTGGACTTGTGTTTCATTTGTGTTCTTGCCTTTTTGGGATATATTTGATTTTTATTTATTCATTTATTTATTTATTTATTTTCATTTGAAAAAATAAATATACAATTGCATCATCTATAATATTGTTTTTCCACATTTTGGTGGCATGTGTGCATTTCGCCATCTAAAACTATGATTGTGCATATATTTCTTTAGCTTGTTACATTTTCAATACTCAGGCAATCAACATCTGCAGATGACAAAGGGAAATTAAGCATACCCATTGGTTCAGATATCAAAATATCTGCCTTTTCAGGCAATTCAACCTCCTCAACTTTACCCTTGATTACCTACAAGATAGACACTATACTAATAAAGAAAATGTAAAATTACTCATCTCAGTAACTTTTAAGAATGTCTATACAACAACACGCTCACTGTTATTCTTGGGCTGAGTGATGGATTTCCAGCTATTAGTTTACGAGCATAATCTGCCATTTCAGATGCTTCCACAGCATAAACATGTTTTGCACCAGCCTGAGAGAAAGCATATCTAAATCAGCTTGATGATTGTGCTAATGTACTCAATTTATTTCAGAGGTGTTGAAAAAGTAATGTGCACTTTAGAACCTGAGCAGCAAATAATGACAAAATCCCACTACCAGCACCAACATCAACTACAACACGATCAGTAAAATCGACACGGTTCTCAAGGACAGCAGCATAATAGCTTCCTGTATATCAAAATTTATACCGATTCATTGGTCGATACAAGTATTTACTATTCCATACAGCCATAAAAGTAAGTGATAATCTTGATAATGAACCAAATCCACGAGCTTATTCTAATTTGGGTGAAAAGACAACTGTAGCAAACTCCAGAGGACAGAGTAGTAATCTTCAGATTAAATATCTAACCTGTCCTGACATAGTCCTGTAACATATTTTGCTGGTGCAGAAGCTGTCCATAGTAATGAAAGTACATTTTGGAAGAAGATGCCTCTATTTTGTCATCAAACTTACTTGTGGATGATGACACAATTCCATTTGATAAAGGTAATCCTGAAGGACAAAGAATGACAGATGATATCTTTGAACACCTGCATTTATCAATAACTTCTGTATGCATGGTGTGAGAATGATCCAATTTATACAAACATTTTAAAATTCGGTGTAAAAGATAATCTAATAGCAATTTGAATTTTTTTTTTCTTTTTGCCCCCTCAAAGATAAAGCACTTATGACATGTGACATGGTGACACTCAAGAGAAACTTCAGATTTGCTCTTAATGACAAGAATAGAGCAATGACGTAAATACAAGGCCATATACCAACTGCACAACCAGCTCCAAGCTCCTCGTAGGTCTTACTACAATGCATGCACAACTTGTAACATGATCTAAATTTGAAAGAATTAAACTTGATGCAACAACTCTGAAAATATTTATTTGCATTATTAAACCAGTACATTACAACGTTAGTATAGAAATTCAATACCAGACCAAGGAATCGCCCCTCGTATGCTTTACCAGAAGGTTTCAGTTGAAAAGGTAGCAAAAAACTTAAAGAAAGATCATGATGCCAACCACATCTTCCTTAACACAAAACAAAATCTCAGAACACCAACCTTGCGCAACTACTTCCTTTTTGCACTGCTCAAAGGCACCATGGAAAGCAGTACATTCTTCTTGATTTCTAAATTGTATGGTGATTGCTTCTGAATAGCTTTCCTGATTCAAAGAAAAGGTCAACGGATAAACACCTTATTTCAATATGTCATGATAGGAAACGAACCCTTCATCTCTCATTTCCACGAAAGCCATCATATATTTAAATTCATCCTAACACTACAGCAAAGTTCATACGCAATAGAGTACCCTGGTCAACAAATGCCTCACATGCATGTATGTTGGAAGTGAAAAATAGATAAAGCAAAAAGGAAGCAAATTTCAAGAGCACGGATAATATTTCTAATCCTCCTAAGTAGGAAAACACGCATGACATCATGTATCTCCATATGAATTGATCTCATACCTCGTTATTTTTTTCAGAAGCTTCAGATATACACAATGATTGAGAAGGGCTTAGCTTGAAAAGCTGGGAAAAGAACCAAAGTGAGATAAAATGAACCATCACAAGAAAAGATGGAGCGGGAAGGAGAGAGAGAGCAGGATGTTAGCATAAATATTAAACTAGTGAATTCACATAACTGTACAGCATTTATCATGTTATTTAAAGCAAAAATGTTCCACACTTGAACAAAATTTTATTATTACTTTACAATTAGTGAATTCCAAAAGCACTCTTTTCAAGTACCATACAGATAGATTCTAATGCACTACCAAAGAATGAACCACAGTGCATTTTCTAGTACTAAATAGGTTCAAAATTCCAGCTGCTTAGCTAACTTTACATAACGACTGTCTTTCTTTAAATTTCTTTTATCTTTCAGATTCTGTTTTTGTTAACAACTAAAATAAGGAGTAAAGAAACAATCTTTTCCAATTCTCTCTGTATTATCAGAAGTTCTAAAACAAATATCCACAATTGAGGTCAAGGAGATCGTAAGAAGAATCTTAAAATGTAGAATGCCATATAGAAAACAGGGCCCAAAGGATCCATCAACCGCGTCTAAGAAACAAGGTGAAAAAAAGAACGCGCTTTTTACATCATTATACTTAATTCCATCAGAAAGCTACCCAATTAAAACACAAGCAAACGTTCGCATACACGGTACGAGCAAAATACTTAATAACCAAACAAAAAAATATTTCAAAACCTGACAGCTCTGGAGATCGAACTCAACCGAGTCACTCGAACTAGACTCAGAGCCAAACTGAAGGGAGCGGGAGCGAAAGCGAGCTACCACAGGCGGCGAAGGGTTACCGGATATCGACAGCTGCGAAATTGAAGCCACCAAAAAATCTTGCTCCCTCAGCTTATTGTTCGCCATTGAAAATGAATGAACTAAATTAAAAAGAATTCAAAGAAAATTAGCAAACGAGACTGTTCTGTAGAGGATTTTAGGGTTTTGTCAGTGGAGAGAATGTGAGAAGAGTTTCTGGCTGCCTTTTGCTGTAATGGTTCGTTTGTTTGGAGGCGATGATGGTGGGGTTTTGCGATGTTCCGCTGTGGGGGTGTGCAGCGTTGCAATCAGTGACGTGTCGAAACATGATTGGCCAGAGTTTTGGTAATTTATTTGGTAGCGTGGTTTGGGTTAAATTTGGATTCTGAGAGTGTAGAGGACAAAAAGTCGAGCCCAAATAGGGTATATGCATAATGCATCCGACCACTCGTGAATTTTAAAAATTTGGAAAAATATATATAGATTTCCTCTCTTGGATTCCTCTTTATGTATAAAATTATTAAATTTCTCGAACTTAAGGGGGCGATTGTTTATAGTTTGTACAGTAAAAAAAAAATCAACCAAACTCAAATTTAACTCAACTTTAATTCAACCACACTATCTCTTTTATTATCAATATAATTGAAAATATCAACCAATCATTCTTACGCATCACATCAACTTTAATTCACTATTCATCTACTCACATAATTTTAACTAATCATCACTTCCAATCATTTTTCTCCTACTTTACATCAAATCAATTTTAATTATTATATTTAAATATTATTTTAACAACTAACCATACCACCTTTTTTTCAAAATTAACTATAGTTAAAAAACAAACTACATAAAAACTAGTTGAATTCATAAACAATCACCCGAAATGTTGAGTTTTGATATTTCATAATTTTAAGTATTAATTTGGGTGTCTTGTAATTTATGTCGATTTTTTGTGATTTGATATGACAATGTATATTTAGATTTATTCATGTTTATTAAAATTATTTAACACTTAGGCCAATTTAACTTGGAAACATATTTTGAATATTAAAAAATAAAATATTTATTCACAATTTTTCATATATAGTTGTGACAACATATTTTATAAAAATATAAAACTTTTGTACAACTTGAATACATTTCGATCAAACGATTTTGCGGGTACAATTTCTATTCATCTCCTTTGATTCTTCTCTTCATGGATTTGCATTTGGATCTTCGATGATGGATTTGAACTTGTATAATGTTGAATCAAGGGCTCGAGGCTTTTTCTCGAATCAAAGACGACTTTCCTTAACGGGAACCTTTAGGAGGACATCTATATGCAGCGACTAAAGGGATATATTACTAAGGGACGTGAGCATCTAGTGTGTAAGCTTAATCGGTCTATCTATGGACTAAAGCAAGCTTCCAGGTATTGAAACATCCGGTTCGATGAAGTGATCCAGTCGTACGGGTTCACTCAATGTCCAGATGAGCACTGTGTACAAGAAAATCAGTGGGAGTGCGGTGGTGTTTCTTGCTTTAAGTAGATGACATACTTCTTATTGGAAACAGTAAGAAGGAGTTATCAAACGTAAAGGTATGGTTGTCTAAGTAGTTTGATATGAAAGACTTAGGTGAAGCAGGACCCATTCTTGGTATTATGGTCATTCGAGACCGTAAGAAGAAAATGTTGTGCTTATCAGGGGCGGATCTAGAAAATGAAATGAGGAGGGACCAAACTTTTATAATAATTGAAAAGGTTATAAAAAAATGGCACAAATAAGACAAAAATAACACTATACATACATTATAATTTTTTGATATAATTCAAAATGATATCTTTTACAATATCTTTAATATTTTGTAAATTTCAGTATTATTATTCATTCTGATGACTAGAAATGTATTATTATCAAAACAAAAATATTCATCTACCCAAAAAAAAAACACATTAAGTTGTATATATGCCAAGATCTCGTGATTTTATAAATATTAAGTTATACTCGACATGAGTAGAAGAGAGATAATATTTCTCAATATGTTGGAGCAAATAATTAGTTAATTTCGTAGTTGACATGAATTTTCATTGACAACAATTCTCTGACATAACAATTACTATAGTAGCATGCGGTGTTTTGATAGATTTATACAATGGTACAACAGATAAATCCCCCTATATATAATTTCCGAATGCGCTGAGCCTACGTGGCTGCTTCTGGTGCTTCGGAATCCTACTTGGCGAAGAATCATGCTTCGTAATTAGGTTTGGACAAATAATATTGATATATTAATAATTATTAATCTAGGTTCGGACATTCTATAAATATTATTTAGCTAACTTAGGTATTTTAATATCAATTAGCTACTGAATTGTAAATGTATTTTAAAAGTTGATAACTTTTGTATTTTTATCGGTTTTACATATATAATATATCAAATTAATCATCTTTTGATGATCTTCAATTTGACATCGATATTGTATATATGAAATAAATAAATTATATTTATCTTTATAATAATAAAAAATAATAATATTTATTAAATTTCATTAGAAAAATAAAATTATTTCTTAATTGATATATTTATGTATAATGTAGTTATATGTTGTAAGTTAGAAAAATTATTATAATATAACACATGTAAGTCGCACAAATAAACAGTGTCATACTAAATATATAATAATATATATACTTTTATAAAAGATATTTAAATTTTCAACTACTTTTTCTCATTAATTTTAGATTTTAAGAAAAAAATTAGTAAGCACCCATGTAATACACGGGCATTATATTAGTAAGGCATTGTAATAATAATATGAGAGAACAAAAAAAAACTAATTATTAAACAACTTCTTTTACGGATTATTTTTTTAAAACTACACAATTTATATCTATTCTTTTGGGAATATATATTATAAAAACTAAAAATCTAAAATTCTAGGTAGGGCCTAGGCCTCACCTGAGGGGCTATAGCTCCGCCCCTGGTGCTTATCTCAGTCTTCATACATAGATATTGTCTTGGGTAGATTCAGCATATAGGATTCCAAGAAAGGTATGTTACCTTTCAGACATGGAATGGCTCTGTCCAAGGAGATGTCTCCTAAGACGTCTCAAGAGATAGAGGACATGAAGACAATTCTTTATGTTTCGGCAGAAGGAAATCTTATGTATACTATGTTGTGCACTAGACCAGGTATTAGTTACGTCGTTGGCATGGTAGCTAAATATCAAAGTAACCCGGGACGGGAATATTGGACTGCGGTGAAACATATACTCAAGTACCTGAGAAGGACTAGGAGGACATGTTAGTTTACCGTGCAGACAACTTGTTACCTCTGGGTTACAGTGATTTCAATTTTCAGTCAGATAGGGACGAGAGTAAGTTAACCTCAGTTATGTGTTTACCTTGGGAGGTGGAGCCATTTCATGGAGGAGTGCTAAGCAGAAATGCGTGGCAGACTCCACCATGGAAGTCGAGTACATAGCAGCCTCAGAGGCAGCGAAAGAGGCAGTATGGCTTAGAAACTTCTTAGTGGACTTAGAGGTGATTCTGAGTTTGCTACATAGTATCACCATGTACTATGAACATTGGAGCAGTAGCAAATTCAAGGGAACCACGAGCCCACAGAGCAAGTAAAAACATAGAGCACAAGTACTATCTGATTCGAGATATAGTTGTTAAAGGAGACGTTGATGTTTCCAATATTGCATCAGAGGACAACCTAGCTGATCCTTTCACGAAGTGTTTGCTGGGAAAGGTCTTCGTCAAACACGTAGAAGGAATGGGAGTCAGGTGTATGGCGATAGGATCAACATATGTCTTTTAGAATAACGAATTGATAGGACTATACTTGTAAAAGTGAAAGCTTTAAATATAAGTGGGAGATTTTTAGTGTTATATACTAAAAGTTTGACTTTGGATAATATTACATGCTTACCCTTTATGAATAAGAAACATGTTAGATTAAATAAGTTCTATGTTCTGTTGTTTTGCAATTAGATAGAGTGGATTGTCATCGGGCGAACCGAAGATCATTCTATCAGTTACTTGCGAAACAAGAGTTGTGGTTCACAACCTAGATGGAAATGAACACCCCATCCAAATAGTTGTAGTGTCAACGGTACAGTTCTTGACTGATTAGTTGCACTAGTACATTTATGTATTGAACATGATACAAGAGAGGAGAAGTTTGTTTTATACTGATCGTCGTAAACGAACTAGGTCTCGGTTAATTTCTGTGTTCTCTTAACCCGCAAGATATTAAATAGACATATATATGAAGTATATATTATTTTGATTCACATGTGTGAGGTTCAGTTAACTGGATTAATAGTCCCACTGTCTTGGGTAATATTGATGCATGTATGATGTGTTGTTAGGATATTTACTGTCACCATGTACGTTTAGTTTGATGATGTCCCCAGAGTGAGTTCATGAAGGATATTATGCTGAAACCTGCAGGTGGATTAATTTTCGGCATAGTAATAATGTGATGAACGAGCGCTAACTTCTGAAATAATAAAAAATTAATTAATTATTGATTACCAGTGTTGTAGCACAAATTGTTATTTTTACCGAGTACCGAATCGAAAGATTCGTTTCCCGGGTCGATCTCACGAGGAAGGCGGTTCGGAATTTAGAAATGATATTGATAACACATAAAAACAAAAGAAATCCTAATCACACTAATCAAATAGGGGGAATCAATGACCAACTAAGAAATAAATAACAATGCAAAAATGTAAATCTACCTAAGAATATGAATGGAACGAAGATGGAGAAGCTAAGGAATCGGGGATGATTAATTCAAGTTCTAGCAAAGTCAGGCAATCAATTGTTCGATTCCAGATTGAAACTCTCGCTTATACATCTAGCGGTTCGCTCCCAATAACTCTTCGTAACAATGGATTGAACATAGACAAACAAGTTCGAGCATACGACACAGACCAATTATCCCAATCCCAATAAGTTTTCGTAACAAGGGACGGGTCATTGACAAGTGCGTATTTCAATCTAAAACACGTAGATTAGTCAATTACGACATCGTCTACCTCATGTGAGACTAAGTCTACGACTTCTCCCCTTTCGGTTCAAGAAGTCGCTAATTTAACTAGAAGAGT